ATCATAACAATTATTAACTAGCTGTTGTGCTAACTCCGGTATATTTACATTAATGCTTACTGATGACATGTTGATTAATATGCATTGTCCTAATTTAAATAAAAGAGAAAAAACAAGGTTTTAAAATTTACAACATTATTTACCTGTAGCTGGAGGGGAAGATTGTGCCTGATGGTCAAGGGTACTGCCTGAGTGGGAGTTCCCCATCTCTGTGATCACACTGCCTGGGCTCCCGGGTCTGCTGATGGCCTCGGTGTCTGGCTCACCCAGGCGCGGTTTCCCATCATCCACAGGGAGACATCTCTCAGGCAGGTAGGAAGAGCACCGCTGCTGTTGATCTTTAGCCCTGAACATCTGCTGGTCGACGGAAAGTCCGGGTGCCATGATCTGCCATCCTGCGTAGCTGCCGCTGTTTTTGAAAACCTCTTTGTTAGACATGACCTTCTGAAGATAGTCCATGCTGGTGGAGCTCAGTGGAGGGTGGAGATGGTTTAAGCCAAACAAAGAGGAACTCTCCGCGTCTGTCAGGGAACCCGAGGAAATCATCCTTCCTAGCATCTCTCTGACCTGAATGTCTGCACCTGCTGTGGCCATCATGTGGCTATAATCTGATAAATCTGCTCTGTCGGGCATATGGAACCTGTTGTGAAAGCGGGAAATGTACTGGGAGTAGAGGTTGCTTGGATGGTCCTGCGTTAGATTACTTAAGTCAATGGAGGAGTCGTGATCAGCTAGGATGTTACTCTTGGCAGCCAGCTTGTTGAGGTGGACTTTCATGTGGTTCTTGAGAAACCAGGGCTCCTTAAAACGACGGCCGCAAATTTGACAGCAGTGCTCGAACGAGTCCTTGTGTTTCCGCATGTGACCCTTCAGGAACCAGGCCTGGCTGAAGGTCTGGCCACACACTTCACAGGGGAACTCACCAACGGACTTCCCCTTGTCGCTAACTCCCACTGACAGTTTCTGCCCTGCGCCCGAATCGGCGGTTATGTGCGCCGTTTCAACGTGGCCGATGAGATCCTCCTCGTGCGCGGCAGCAAACTCACACAGAGTGCATTTGTACGGCTTGTGGAGGATCCTGATGTGGCGCTCCAGCTCCTGCTGCTTCCTGAACTTTCCCTTGCAGAATGAGCAGCGGAAGCTGGTGGCTTGTGKCAGGATGGGCTCATCGGAGACGGTAGTCACATTAGGAGAGGTATGCGGTTGGAGATCCGGCGCAGCAGAACTGTTCACGAACTGAGGCTCGGCTGGCGGGGTCGGCAGTACGACCTTTAGAGGCTGGTTTGTGTTAGAAAGTGCCGGTGGTTGTTGGCTAACAACACCAGCTCTCATCTGTCGGTCTCTGAGTATCGCCCTTTCCTCTAGCTCGTGAAGCAACYTGTTCTCCTCTCTAATCCTCCCGCGGCCTTTGCCCAGGATGCCTTGCTTGTGAGTACGGAGGTGTATCTTCAGGTTGCCCTTCTGCGCAGCCCGGTGGTCGCAGTACGGACACTTGAAAGGCTTCTCACCCGTGTGAGTGCGCATGTGAAGAGAGAGGATGCTGTTGAAGCGGAAACGCTTCCCGCACAACGGGCAGGGGTACTTCCTGTTCTTGCGGCTGTCGTCTTGGGCAGAATTAACCTGGGAGACGATGCTCTGATTGGTGATTCTTAGGAACTGAGAGAGCTCCACTCGCCCGTTCATGCTGCTGAGAATTCTTCCATCCATGATTTGATTGGCCAGAAGCGCCATCTGTCTCCTAATTGGGTGGGTGGATGGGGTAATGAAGCTGCCCTCTCCGGGACAGGGTGGCGTTACTGTTTGGTGATCAGGGGTATCTTTCTGGTACGGTCCGAATGTTAGCAGTAAAATGAACTCAGTTTGCAATTAATCAGCTGAAACAGATTTAGGATTCCTGCTGCTCTGATGCGACTTCAGTTTCACACCTAAAAAAAGACAAAAAAACACTTTTTTACATAAAATTTCATGCTGTTTTGCATACAAAATCACCAAAAAATAAACAGGCGAGTTAAGTATCAGTACAGTTATGTGCTGTCAATAAATGTGAAAATCTGCAAGTGCATAGTGCCAGTGATGCACCGCAAATAGGTCAGGAAATAGAGCAAAGTAGGTTCAGACACTCGTCATCCTGTCTTAAGTATACCTGTGGTTTTAGATTATTGTTGGAGACAATAAAAAAATGCTGATTTTGTCTAACCACAAAGGCTTCCTCAACAAATGTCTCATCCACACAAAAGAGTAAGGTGAAAATCTTGTCTAGATCACATTTTGTAATGACACGACACTAATGCAGCACAAACATCAAAGTCGGTCTGCTCCTGTTTTCTCTTCTTTTGAGTTCAAAACTCTTAGAAAAGTCTAAAGAATAGATTCAAATAGCTGAGCTTTAGCAGTTCCCCTGCATGTTTGAGTTGAACCCTTACTGGAATAATCACCTCGCAGTAACATTTAAGAAAGAAACAACTTGGATGCAAAAAGAATCAACTGTAGCAGTTTAGGGGAGGATATTGAAGTAGAAAGCCTCCACTTTGCCAGCTCTTTTTAATGCGACTGTGGCATCAAAACAAAGCTTCAAATTCATGTTGTGCTACAATGATAGAGGTCACACAGACGAGCCCTGCGCAGCTCTACAGCAGCACCAAAGGGCACAGAACAAAGGATGCACTGTCCACCCTGAATTAACACAGGCTTACATCATCCTGGATCGCAACCTCAGTCAGTCACGAAAGTGATGTACACAAAACCCCACAGACAAAAAAGTTAGCCATTTGGGCATGTTTTTGTGAGAGCTGCTCGGAGCTGTAGCTCGGAAATTTGTGTCACCGTGTGGTACTGACCAAATCATACCTGACAGGAAAAAAATAAAAAGTCTGCAAAGTTGTAGATCCCCGTTTTATTTGTCAACCTGGTATTGAGAAGTCACACCACATCAAGCACACTGTGTTCTCTGTTCACTTCCCACTCACTTTCAACGATTACTCTCATTACAACTATTGTTGCGTTTACCTCTAATAATGCTATTACTTCATAGTAGCTGTGAATGTGAMATACTGGGCATCGTATCCAATTTGGAATCTGCAAAAAGGTCAATAATGATCGATCAAACTCAGCTCAGAAAGGTTTTACATTGGCAGCATTTTTCTCCAATTACTTTGTGTGTGTTTCTTTGCTGAGCAATGCAACTGCTCTTTCTTATCTGCCAGTCTCAACAAGCTACCAGACAGAACTATAAAAGCAAATGTTGAAATAATTCAGATTCAACAATTTCAGCTAAATTAAAGGTGCTGTATTGACCTGGTGACTTTACACCCGTCAAGTGAAGACTAAGGCTTCCTAAATAAAATGTTTGCATTTGAGCCACCTGCTGCTGCGTAGCAACCTCAGTCAGTCATGAAAATGTAAAAACCACACAAAGAGCTGCCTGCAGCCGTGGTTGGTTTGAGCATTGTGTCTGCTCAGAGCTGAGATCAATGTAAGGATATGGGGCTGACCTAATCATTTCTGACAGGCAGAAAGTAAGCAAAGGACATTAGCATACACTGAATCCACTTCATATTTACCAAAGTGGTATTTCTGATTAACTAAGCATAACAAGTTGGCCAAAAGCCCCTCATCATGTGTGTGTCTGTGCGTTCGGGTCCAGATTTTGCAGGAATAGGTGTAGATGGGAGTGGGGCCACTAGTTGTTTTCTCTGTCAAAGTGAATTAGGCTCTTTTTGGTGCAGACTGAGAGAGTGCTTGATTGTTATGAAGCACTGTGTCACAGCGGCGCTTCTTAGGTGTGGCCACGCATTGATGAAAAAGGAGCAGGTGTGATTTAGCACAGGCAATAAAAGGGAAACAAAAATGTGACAGATACGCACACGCGGTTAAAGCAGCCATGGGAGCTGCAGATTCCAGATGATTTTTGGATCAAACATTACATTTGCTTTCATTTCTGTCTGGCAAAGGTTTCCATAAAGGATTTAACCAGCAAGACAAGGACAATTTTGCCTTCTGACTTATCTGCTAAGCAGGTGGACAGTGTTGTAAACGCATCGGAATAGACAGATGAAAAGTGCAAACTTTTTTCTTTTTTTGAACAGTATTTAAAACTAGTAAAAATGTATTAATGTATGTATTTTACGTATTTTCCAGGCACATATTTCAATTCTATACCATAATAAAGCAGAGATGTCAAAAGTCATAACATAATAAGTATAAATACTATAGTTTAAAACAACATTTTTGAGTTTTTTTTAGGTTTTTAGTCAAGTAAAAGTACAAAAATACTCATTTAAGTATAAAGTAGAAGTAATCTATAGAAAAAAGTTGTTAAGGATAAAAGCTTAGGCTGAAATGTAATTGCTGAAACATTTGGGCTGCACTAGACTTCCTGTTTCAGCTGCACATATCTTTATATCTCTGCCACGGTGGTCTTTTTTTTTTTCGAACAATGACAAGCTGGAATGACAACAAGCTGAAGAGAAATATAAATGAAATACGTTTTGCATTTTTAAAATGGAAAACGTAGAAAGTACATCACAATGTAAAAAATAGAAGTAAAAAGTTAGCTGAACAATAATTACTCAGTAGAGTATAAAAGAAGTAAATTTCTACTTAAGTAAAGAAAAAAAGTATTTGTACTTGATTATTTGAAACCTCTGCAATCAATTAACTATGTCACCTTCGATTGTTATGAAAACACATTTATCAAAAATAAATTTGACTTTGCGTCATAGTCTATCTAAACGCCTTGAAATTGACCTCTGTCTCTTTAAGAAGCCCTTACCATTTCTAACACTCCCACTTCAGCCCATCTTTACAACAATGTTTCAGGGGGAGGGGTGCTCTGYGGGAGAGGCGCTTGGCTGTAGACTGAGATCCAGGGAGGAGCTTTATGTAAATAGGCGGAGCTTTGTACCAGCAAGCATTCCACATGGCTACCATGAGATTCAAAGATTTCTCAAACATGCATGAATGAGTCAAAGCAACACTCTGGGTATGTTTTTGATGAGGGAATGATGTTATAATATGATATAAAGCTAAAAAAATATTTTGCATAATACTCCCCTTTAAATATAGCAGCACATGCCACTTACAGTAGCTCACAGGAGAAGCCTATCAAATGAATACTTTCTGAGAGTTTCAATAAAATCTGCATGGTTTACGGTATATTTTGGTAAAAGACAGACTGGGTTGAAGCCAGCCATTAAAATCTAAGTTTTAAGCAAAAATAATGCATTATGTGTAGTGATCTGAGTGTGTGTTGGGGATGACACCACATCAAACTTTAACTGAATGACTTTCCAATTTGCAACTGTCGCATGAACTGACACACAAACAAGTTTCAGTTTGCTGACTTTATCTGAAACATCTAGAAGAGCCAGACGAGTGATATTAGTGGTGTTTGATGTTGAGCATATCTGTAGATGCCACCCCCCATATTCTCTCCTTAATGCTGTTCTGTCTTCATCAAAACTGCACATAATAATTAATGACTTTCACCATTTTTGAAATTCAAAGACTTCAGGCTACAGAGGTTAATAGTCTTAATATTACAAAGGAGGGTCATGGACAGAAACTAAAACCTCAATGCCACGCTTTCTGCCCCCTGCATGTCGCTCCCACTCGCCCGCCTACCCACGAAACCAGCCGAGAGCCAATCATCACGAGGACCGCCCTGTCAGGGGGGATGAAGAGTCTGTACATGGAAGAGGGCAGTGGTAACACAGCTGCCCGCCATGACCCGCACAAAAGATAGCGCCCATATACTTTCTGACAGCCAGATTAATGAAACCCTATAGGAGCTCCTCTGTAGGCCTCCCAAAAGCCTGACGGAGACAGAATAGTCTAACCAGCACCATTCATTACTGCGGGTATACAGAGCACAGAAAGAGCACACACAGCACTGACAAACTAGCTCCTTGTGAGTAATCACTAAAGAACTCATAAAGGAATACATACACATTTGTTGGGAATGCAGTAAATCTATGCCACTCCTTTCACAACTATCAAAAACCCGGCTTGTGGCTTATAAAAATAAATCTGGCGCGCATGTGGCGCATCGATGATGTGCCGTTATTTCGGCGTCAGCTATTTCATACGTTCAGTGAAAAAGGGGGCTTTCGATTAATTTTGCTGGCCTCCGTCAGTAATGCAGATTGGTGGCCCCCGAATGCAAGGCAAAAAGACAGGGGAGGGGGAAACAAGTTCCTGTGGCAACATACTTAAGATAAAGAGTAAAACATTAGCAAGACAGATGGGAAAACAACGAGTTCGTAAGAGGGCACCAGCTGTGTGCGTACCTGTATGAGTTAGTAGGAACTTGCATCAGTTGAAAGATTTAAAGGTCTTTTAAATGGCAAAAGCTCATCATTTCTATTTATCTGGGGCAGCAAAGATGGGGAGATTGTGAGTGAGCTATAGGCAAAGTGAGGGAAGCAGGCAGCATCATTAAAACAAAAGAGTGCGCATGTACTTTACATATAAAGCTTCACACTGTCATTCTGAGTAGCTCTCAGATTCATCACAGGAAATGAAATACAGTATGCACACATGCAAAGACTCCCACTCTCACGTGCTCTCTCTCTCTCTCTCTTGCACACACGCATGCACGTATGCGTCAAATGTTTTTTAAATCACTAATGTGTAAACAGTTGCTCTTATTTGCACAGACCACCTGTTCTTTCTGGACACGAACAAAGCTTTGGCGTACAATGGGGCGAGTGAACAGTGAGGGGTGCTTAGGGGATGTCTTGCACAGGAGAAGCCTATCCACATGGTGTAGGCTGCATCAGATGGTTGGGCCCTGCATGGTGGCGACCAGCTCCAATATAAACGCACACAGATCACCAAAAAAAAAAACGGAGCGCCTTTCAGCCTGCAACGTATTGAAAGGGTTTTTGCTTACAAGAACTTCTCCCTGATGTTAAAAATAAATAAATAAATAAAAAAATGCGAACTCTTCGACGCGATACGCTGTTTAATTCAACAGGACTCCTAACTGCGAAGAAGATCATCTTGTTTTTCCATTCACCTCTCGCACATCGCTCAATATTTGCGAACGCGGAAGGAAYGGAAGAGAAACTAGATCCACTTTGAGCACTTGAAGGCACTAAAACAAAAGTCATTAAACGAGTCATCACAAAATCACAGCAGGACTCTGGTAATGCCACTTACAGTAGCTCATTAAGCTATGGCATCCACAGGAAAAAACTGACAAACAAAGAGCATAATCCAAGGCACATTAACTGGGCTGATAATTCAATGAAGTCTCATTTGGCAGCCATCTTGCCCTTGTGAAAGTCTTTTTTCCCCCTCCTGTAGCAGAGCACAGACCTCTCCATAAAGTTTCTACCTCTCTTTGTCATTCTCTCTCTCTCTCTCTCATACACACTCACACACACAAACACACACTCTGTGTCTTTCTAAAACAACAAAACATCCACCATTAGACAACGGGGTACCAGCGTAATTAGAAAATGACTTCCTTTGCAATCCTAGCTAAGTAGTTTACACACTGTAATTACAGGGACAAAATCATCTTTTCATCATTTCACTGATTGAGCTCATCAACCCAGTGGGATCCCAGGACTGTGCTCAGGCAACATCTGGGCTAAGAGAATTAGCCCTCAGTTTAGCAGGCCTTGCTCAGTGGCAAGCACAGCAGCGTGAACGCCGGACAGGGCGGCGAGCGGCTCTGGTTTTAAGATTGTGGCGATCTCGAGCTTTATCAGACTGATGGGATTCAGGGACACACTGGAAGCTGTTTGCTGTAGCACAACAGAAGCGAGCTCGGCTTCGGCGCTGTAGCTATATCTATTTCCCATGCTCCCAAAAAAAGAAAAAAAAAGAAAAAAAATCTCATATCAAACTTTCACTCCCTCGGAGATGACTGCTTAACTCGCATTAAAGATTGACCTTGGAGCACAACAGCACATCTTTTCATGGGAAACTTTTATTTATTGCACTTTTCCCCGTGTGCCCCGAGCCTTGACTTTCTAACAAACACATGTGGTCCAGGAGCTGAAGGTGAAGTGCTTCTGCTCGTCTCTGTCCTGCAGAAGGGCTCTGACTGCCCCTGTGTGTTGGCAACAGAGGCAAGTGTTTAATGTGGCAGCTGTTAGCCTCGTGGATTTTCACTAATCACTCTCTCCTGATTACTCTGATGAGTGTATGATGCTCTTAAATAATCAACCCGCAACGGAAAAAAAAAAAGAAAAATAATTATCATCATCTCCCTAAGTAGTGCAGCTGCACCCGCCTGCAATAATTACAACTAGAACAGGGCGCCTTCTCTCGTCACTTACAACCACTTATTATTAGAGATAACGCTAATTGGTGCAGTGGTGGGCGACAATTCTTCATGGGGTTCATCGTAAAAAGCCAAACCTTGAAAGTTATGGCACATTAGAGGTCTTAAAGCCAAGGTGCGGTATTAAACACTGCATGCTGAGACATGCTGATAATCTGAGCCAGGGGAGTAGTAGAAGTCCTATCAGTAGCCCCTGGTTTCCTCGCTGCCTTGCCCTCGCTGCACCCTTCCCCCCACGCCTGGTATCAGCCTGGCAGACACAATTAACATTTTCATAAAAACAATTCCCGGCCTCCAATAGTCCAATGTAATTTGTTTTCCATCTCTGTTCATTAATCATTGTTTAAATCGGTGAGCCATCCCCTCCACTCTGCCATCTGCACTCAGCTGTGTTACAGATATGACACCTTCCCTCTTAATGGGAGCTGACAGCCAGGAGAGGAGGCCTGTGGAAAAGAGCTTCCTGCATGTGCACTTCCACCTCACATACTGCCAGCAGGTGAGAGAGGGGTATTTAATGGGTTCTGATTAATCTCAAAGGCAAACAACATTACACTACAGCATTGCGAGCACGCGGCGCCACGTTTTTAATGTCGCGCGGCAGCACAGGAAGAAGGCTGCAAAAATATCAAAACCCGATGCAGATATAGGGCTCGAAAACAATAGCAGCGCAATCCAGATTTTGTCAAACTTTAATGCTGTTTTTTTTCCCCTCTCCTCTATTCTAGTTAAATTAGTGCAGCATTCCTACAATATGCTATTGTTTTCCTGGAATTGGGAGCAAGGTTATTAATTATTCACTGTTGTGTTCTCATATGAGGGGGGCTATGCTTTTCACTGTATTGCCTCATAGTTCAAATACTTAAGGGCCATAGTACTCAGGCAAATTTCGCGAGGCAACATCACAGCGGTATCATTATCACCAGGCATACACTTAGGGGATTAAAAGTTTCCTGAAGAGTCTGAATGATTGGAAAGGGGCTTTTTTTTATTCTGATACATTTTCAAAGTTCTTGCATTTCATTGGAGAGAGACATCAAAAAACTTTTGTCTTACTTTTTTTTTTCAAATGATTTTAAGCCTTAAGTCTAAACAGCTTAGGCATTGTTGCAGGGAGAAAATCCTACTCGGTGTGGTGGTAAAGAGGGTGCCAAAAAGTTCATCTGGCTTGTTGATTTCATCGTGGATTACAGATATTCAAATCATGTGCCTCATGTTCAAACAAGTGCCTCTATCAGGGAAGAAAGTTGCCAAACAGAGCTTTGTCGTGTAAATCTGTATGAATTGACTGCAGAATAATGAGAAAACAGGCTGTGGTGCAATTAATACAGTTTCATTCAATTCCCATCCAATTTTATGATGATGTTTTAGCTCTATATAGAACACAAATTGAGCGATTTCTCCATGAAGAACTTTGTTTTACACGAAACAGTTCGAATAAATGGTCCTTGCCCCCCTTTTTTAAGCGAGGAGGTGTTCTAACAAGGACAACAGCAGCATCAGTAAATGATGTGTATATTCAAAGCTGAATATTTCATGTTGATTGATCGCACTGACTGCCACCCACCTGCTCCTCCTCCTGTCCCACCGGAGCTGGCATGAGGAGAATTCAGTAATTGAGAAGAGCAGAGCATGGTCTCTCTTTGCTCACATATGACAGATGGGGCATCATCGCTTCAAAGGAGAGCATTTGGAAACAGGAGGAAGAGGAGGGGGCAAGAGGGTGAGGGTGGTTTTCAAAGTAGCTGTGCCACTCTCTCTCTGTCTCTCTCTGCACAGGTGACAGTGACAAAAACACAAAAGGTTACCATATCTAAAATAAGTGCCACCAGAGTTGCAAAAACAGGAAATGAATGTACAGATGACCATTTTAATCATCATTATTCTGTTCAGTCAGATAACTTCTATCTTGTTTTTTTAATAAACTTACACATTAAAATGACATAAAACTGTATGTGGTGTAGAAATTAAGAGAATAAAACATTTCATTATGATTTAATCACCCTAAAAATGTCGATTTTCTGCTTTCTGTTGTGTTTTTTTAAAGATCCCTGATCGTTTTATCACAACTTTCTCCTTTCATCACCTTCCCTCATCCCCCGCCATTACTTCGGTCACTTTACGAATTTAAAAAAAAAAAAAGGAAAAAGAAACAGTTGCATCCCTGTCTGACAGAATCTGTCTCATCAGAAACTTTTTTTCCCCTCCTGTCATTAAAATCCAGACGACGGGGCAGAGATTTCTCTTACCTGTCCGGCTCGGTGGTGCGCGGAGGACGACGCGACGTGACAGATGGGAGTTGAGTGGAGAGAGTGATGTTGGACAGGATCACTGGCTGCTGACTGACGGACTGTACGCTCCGCACGCTTTATCATGAACGCCCAGCACGCAGCTGGGTGGCAAATCTTCCCCTTCAAGTTCCCGTTTAGCTTCAAAGAAACGCGTCCGAACGAGCAGAAGCGACGCCAGCCGCGCGCTTTGCTGTGTTGCATTTCCAACTGCAGACAGAGGTAATGAAATCTTGTTTTTTTTTTTTAATTACTTGGGATACTTCGACATGTCCCGAAGCCGTATGTCTCCCTCATCTGGCCGCTGGTATGTAAGTGTAACAGACTGTCTGGCACCGTGCGTAAAATGTGCACTGGCGTCTCCAGTGCGCAGACTTCATTAATCCTTTTTCTGATGTTTCAGGACTATGCGTCATGCTTGTTTTAGGAGTCATCCTCTACATTTTACAATTAAAAAKTTCAGTAAATTGATTTTTATTATTAAAAATAAAAAAAATAAAATGAAAATAACATTTCCTTGTTTACAGCTTTGAATGGAAGCTGTTGTTTCATGCTCTGTGTGTCCAAAGTGTTTGATACCATGTAAATAATGAGTTCTATCAGTGCTTCAGCCTTTTTACACTGTCTCACTTAGGGAGGTTTAATTAGATGCTGTTTGCATCTTTCACCTTTCTGCTATCTGACCTTCACTGTGGATTATCCTCCAAGACAACGAGCAATGTTTTCTTGCTTGAATGTGAACACATTCCGAGCACATCCTCTGTTAAACCTTAAACCTAAAGAAAGCAACACAAACTGCTCACAGCAAATAATAACAACACAGCAACAGGTCTTCCATTCATTTATTTATTCTTCATTAAACATGTTCAAAGTTAACATACATTATGCTGGCTGTGTATAAAAACCATTTAGGTGGAAAATAAAGAGGCAATCTGCTGTTAAACATGAAAGAAGAAACATTTGAGTGAATTTTGGTACAAATATCTACTGAAAGGACTCATTAACCATCGATATGAGAACTGTATTGTGCAGATTTTGTCTCTTACTTTATTTATTTGTTTATTTATTCATTTTTTGACAAGTCTTTGTGCCTTTTCAATAGGAGSATTGTAAAATCTGTTCTTTTACAAGTTTGTTTTATCAACCAATTTCTACCCTAACTAGATCTAGATTCCCTTATCTAAAAGGGAAAGTGCACATTAATCAACATGAGTACTTCTATCCATTATGTAAATGTGCCAGAGTTAGCCTCACAGCCTAATTTTCATCTGCAATCTCAGACCGGTTGATGGAACAAAAAGTACATTAYAAACAAACAAATACCAGCAACATATACTGTAGTTAATAAATCACATGATCTTCTTGGATAAATGGAATCGTGCTAAAGCTCAAAGCAACTTTTAGGCTTTAAGTGTCATGAAGTAAACACAAGACATTAAGATTTTCATTACAATATGTTAAACAGTAAGCAGATATCCTGGCTGCTGTTTAATCCATTCGTCTGTCATCTGGAGCCAGTTGCAAACTCTCCCTCTCATTCCTGAACACCTGTCTGGACAACAATACATGCATGAGTCCTTCATCATGCAACGTTTTCAAATCCCCCTTAATCCCAGAAATGCAGATCTCGAGTGGCTCATTACTTCGTTTCTATGCAGGATTTCTTTGAAACGTAGTTCCAGTCCTCTCTAGCATATACCTTTGCAGCTTAACCTAAATAAGTCCAATGATCTGTGTCTTACCAACACAACGCTAGTATGTTAAGCATTGGCTAATCTGTCTCATGCTACCTGGATTTTCATATTGGAGAAATAATCCTGATGAAGGCCAGGAGGGGGGAGTCACCTTAAGACCTGTTTAAAAGCTTCTTATCAAAAACCCGCACTCCAAACATTTACCTAAATAGGAAGCGATAGCCCTTTAACTTATAATCCATGGCTTTAATTAAAGAGGAAAAACAGTGTTGTGTATCATTTGGCCTGGTGACGTTTAAAAGTGCAGAAAATTTACAGTTCGGTCCACCGTGATGGCCTTTTAAAGTTAACTAGAAGCATGTTTTCTTCTTTGTTTTAGCTGAATTTATTATTTTAGGCATCTATGGGTAGAAACGTGTTTAGAAGAATTAGGGCAGTAAAAAAAAGACTACTGTCTTCAAACCTTTGAATCTTCAAGACTTACTGAAGTTGTTTGTTCCTTATATTATTGCTAATGCAACAATTCAAGCAGCAATTGTATTTTTCCTTTTTCCTTTTCAATCTAGGTCAGAACTTAATGTGCTTAAAAAGGATATTTGTGTGTAAAACATGCACCAAACAGAAATAGTTGGTGGTTTTTGTTTTCTCAATTTTAGGATAAAAAAACCCTTCTCAATTTTATTTGACCTAAATTGTCGTGAATGGTGTCATGTTTCAGAAAAGTGCTGATTGTTTCCTATTTCATTAGAACTAGAGTCATTTACAAACTTTGCACAAGCTGAGGCAACCAGCAAAGGTCTTGAAATCACTCATTCATTAGTTTGTAACGTAGGAAGTTAAACAGACGCTTCCAGACTGCAGATTAAGAATCAACTCTGTGGATGTCTCATAGCTTTAGAATCTGTTGGGATGACTTCAGTGTGCACACTGAACCAAGTGACTTTTAGGAATGAAACACAAAACAAAYACCTGCACTGAATCTGAGACACGACGGGGCAAAAATGATGTGAGTGAAGACTTTAAGCTCCTTCGGTGCTTGTGAAATAATCTGCAGTGAAATAAAGTGCAGCTTTGGGAACACAGTCAGATATTTATTTGCCATTAAAAAGGCTCATGAGCAAAAACACAAAAAAACATGCTGCCTACAGTAAAATATGGTTGAGGATTTGTCACGTTGTGGGGTGTTGGTGCCTCTGGAACTAAAGTAATGACTCAGAGATGGTAAAATCAGCATCATTGTAACATATGTTAGTAGCAAGACTTATTATTAAAAGTCTTTGTTTGGCCTTTGTAAAAAGCTTATATTGACTACTGCAAAACAGAGCTTTTGGAGGTTTTGCAGTCATAGCATTTAACTTTATAAATTTCCATTAAGTCCTGTTTGTTTAAAATAAACCAAATTTCAAAAACTTCTTATTTTTCTTAACACATTCAGCAGTTAGCGGCACCTCTGTGCCACATGAAGCAGATTTTAATTCCTTTTAGCTTTTCCAACAAAGGATTTGCTCACCAGTAGGACTTGTTTGTGCTCTTGTAGCTGTGTTGTCTTGAAATCCCACCCATTACACACCAGTTTGAGTCTTTACAAAYTGAAGATGACGTTTTACATTCAGCCGACTCCCAACTTTGATGAAACATTTCGATGCAGAAAGCTGCAGTTCAAATATCGCTCTCCAGGAATTTCCGAACTGCCCATCACCTCCTGATCAAGAGCAAGATTTTGCCTTTTTGTAACGATACAAAAAGAATCAAAACTGTGGTTAAATTCATTTTATTTGTAGTTTATATCAATAATAGTTTTTTTTCCTTTACATAAAGCTTGTCACAGAAAAATACATACATTCAGTAAGAAGATAAGAAAGTCAAAACGACGTTTCAGACTGGAAAAAAAAAAAAAGAAAAACTTGAGGTAAAACCTACAAACTCATGCCACTTAGAGAGGAGGAGCTAAAGTAAACGTATGACAAACAGCTTAATGAGCAAACAGGAAGACTTTCTTCCACTGACTTTATAATGTAGATAAAGAGGAAATCTAACTGGTTGTTTCAAACCACTGACAGGTTTGATCTATTTATATGCTGCTTTTATTATAATGAGAAAAAAAATAACTTTTTTTCAATTTGAGGGAAAAATGCATAACCAAAAAAGGATGACTTGTTTTTTGTTCAGTTTATCGGTTGAAAACAAAAAAAATTCTTCTCAAACGTCACTTTTGCTGCAGCCTGGCAGCTTTGAACTTTGACACTCTTTTCGGCGCCTGCTGAGGCGGTGCCACATCAGGTGCCACCTCCTCCTGCTTCCTCTCCAGTATGGTTGGGAGAGCTGGTGGGATGATGGTCAGGTGGGGGACGGCTGTGGGCATCGGGTCTTTTTCTATCACCGTACCTGAAAACGCCTGGAGAGGAGAGGAAGGATACTGGAGTGAGAAAAACTATGCTGGTTTTCATCACATTGTGTCACCATTTATGCTTATATGGCTTCTATTGTTTGACCCCACTCAGATCCGTTTTAGTTCTGAAACTCAGAACCATGAACCCACGATAAGGTATTTGTCAAAAACTACTAACCTCAAATCGGCTGGGCATTAGTAGCGGTACGGCAGTGGGGCTGTCCTCCTCTGTGATGCCATCGCTGTTGTCGCTGTGCGTCTCGTCGTGGCTGAAGCTGCGCCCCATCACCCTGCGCTCCTCGAAGTCGGCCGCGCTGCTCTCGCTCGTGTCGCTGCACACGCTGTTCTCTCGACTGCGCGACTTCAAGATGGACTTCCTGGGGACGGGCTCTCCGTTCCTCACGTCCACGAATAATCTGAGCGAGAAGCAAACAGCTGTTAGGTTCCACGAGTCGGTGCGAGCGGACGTCGTCCTCGGTGTTCGGTCGTTGGGGTTTACCTGTAAATGTCTGCCGGAGTTGTGATTTTGAAAAGTTCGTGGTGGGAGTGTCCGTTACTGTGTCCGTTTTTCTTTTTCCTTTTGGAATGCTCCTTCTGCTCTTTTCGTTCACTRAACTTTAACGTTGTGTTTTTCCCCGTGTTTATTCTCACCTGTGGTCGATGTAATAAAGACAGCATGAAGGCAAAGATGTTTGTCATTTAATCTGTTTCATTCAACAACAACTAACCTTCTTGGGTTCGACTGTGTGAGAAAAGAAAATGGTTGGCAAACAGTGGCCTTCCTCCTCATCTTCCTCGTCTTCTTTCCGCTCTGCGAGTGGCTGTTTGCTGTGAGGAGCTGAGCTCCAGCTTGGCTTCAAACTCAGGCCGTTTACCGGAGGGGCAACATCTGCCTCCTTTTCYTCTTCCGATGAAGAGGAGGATGAGTCCTCAGCGTTCATTTCTGTGACATCACATAATCTGAAGACAAACATTTTAAAGGGATCCCTGATTAGTTGTAACATTAGACTTTATTTGATAAACATATATTTTAACTGTAAAATAAAGACTAAAAATACTGT